CCTCTGCCCCTCCCACAACTCCAGCTCCGTCGAGCTCGGTGTTGTTATTGATGACATCGCCGTCAATGCCGCCCCATGTGAACATGGCTTCTACCTCGTCCACGATATCGGCCAACACATCTTCGGCGATCTGGTCATTGAAGCGTTCGCCCATGGCCCGGATTGGCTCTCCAGTTTCAGTCTTCTCAGGTGGCCCAACCCACCATGGCCCCTCAAATCGACATTCAACGGCACCGCCGCCGTAGCAACTGACAGCAGGATAATAACCGATCAAGCCATCGTCGGCATTCTCACGCTCGCCAATACCAAGGTTGTTTGTGCCATTGGCGAGGCGGCTTGCGGGCGGCAGGAAGGCATAAAGTTCTTTGAAAGGAGTGCCCATTTGTACTCCGTTCTTTAGAATGGTAATACTAGATCCCGGGAGTGTGCGAAGCGTGGCGTCTTCGCTGTTGAAAGGGGACGGGGGACCAAACGTCGGGGTTTCCTTGAGGTTGAAAGCGTAGTCACGGAGGTGTTTCGTAGAAAAGACGTTGGATTGCTGCCAACAGAAATCTGATTTATAGTGAAAGGGAATCCGATCTCGGATGATGTTGGTTGCTACCGGGGGTGATGGGCTATTATCGTTGGGATCGTAAGTGCCCTCGACAATTTTCTTGTGGAGAGAAAGAGGCGGAAGAGTGATGAGCATTCCGATAACATCACCTTCATTAATGGCTTCACCCTTGGGGAAGAAGAACTCGCATCGCATGCGATTGACAACTTCGCCATTCACATCTCGAATCCCGTACCCGTAGCAGTCCACTCCAACATTCACGTCAAGGTCGGCCTCACGTCGGGCGAATCCAATACGGACATGCCCACGAGGTGAAGTTGTCGGTCTGCCGTTCTGAGGTGCCTGGGGATCATTGACTATGCCACTAATCACACGAGCTTCGTAATAATAGGTGCCCTCTCGGGCACAGACATTGGCGCGGGCAGTATGCCACGCATCACTAGTTGTCACCGCAGTTGCGCTCTCTGAAAATGATATAGCAGCTGGCGAATCCTCGAAACTGAAACGGGTATGGTACGGGCGAACATCGGTCTGTCGATATTTGATGTGAGGGAATCCGGGGTCTGCAATAGCATAGCTATAACGAAATCCATTCTTGTTGTTGAGTTTATCGACAACCTCGTAGAAATCCCAGCTCTGGCCCAGCACATCTGACGTCTTTCGGCTCACGCGATTCAACTGGCGAGGTTGTGGAGGGTATCGATCCGAGGCGTGCGGTTCAGCGAGCAGCAATGGACGTAGAATGCTCAGTTTTGAGCTAGGCAGGGCCGTGCTAGGTGCAGCTGTGGCTCGCTTTTTCGGCGGTGGTGCGTTCTCGGTGTCTAGACCTTTGGCTTCACGCTTCTTCCGACTATCTCGCTTATTACGCTTGGCTCGACCGTCGCCTTGGGCAGACGGGGCGGGAGAAGATCGTGGATTCAGGTCGGTAAATTGCGCATTGAGAAGAGGTCCACCATTGGGAGGTAAGATTGGGGAGTTGATGTTGGACGACGGAGCGGAAGATCCGGGGGCTTGGCCGGATGCCATGATGGAAGCTATGTTTGTCTGGGTTGTCTGTCAATCTGGATAGAGTCAGCAACTTGAACAAGATATGAGCCAATGAGTATGGCTTCACAGCATTTGTTTCTGCGGAGTTGGAAGTCCTCACTCACTTCAAAGCTTGTGTTAAGCTGTTCCGGCGTGTGTATACGCGACAGATCCGGAGACTTGGCAGCCTACAGCTTCACCAATGAGATTATTTTAGAATTCCAATGGCTCCTATATTCATTGACAAGCAGCAACCTTCCCTTTGTGGATAGAAAGAATCAATCGCATGCGCGTTGGACAAGAATCTCCTTGGTAAACGGGGGCGGTCAGTGTTTATTTGCAGAAAATGCGTCAAGAGGCTAGGGCGGTGTGGGGTACAGGCGGTGAGGAGATTGGGGGGCACCGCCTGGCAGAAAAAAAAATATGACCACACAATTTGATTGTCGTGTGTACTTCGATAGGCCAGCCCAAACTACACATTCCAGTTTCTTCGGTTTATCTGAAGAATTACCCACCATGCCAAAGGTATCAAGCTCACGTGCTGCTGCCGCGGCACGCAGACACAACCCTCTCGCTGAAGATATTACTTCCGCGGGGCACCTTCGGACACAGAGCAGCAAGAAAGGCAAAGGCAAGGCCAACGAAAATGATGAGGATGGTGAAAACGGACAGCGTTATGTCGATGCGAAGATGTCGCGCAAGATTCTACAGATTGGACAGGAATTGGCCGACGAGGATGCCGCCGAGGAACTCAAGAACTCAGCACGGCCCAAGACGAATGCATTTGAATTCGATACCCGATTCGAGGATGAGGAGACTTTCTCCGACGACGAGGGGAAGTTTGAAGCCGACGACTGGGTTGATGATGAAGTCGAGCAAGTGGTAAGACCTCCCAATTTTGCATGACAATATTGCTTCTAACATTTTACAAAGGAGGTCGACCCCAATGATCTAGATATGTTCAACAAGTTCATGCCTCACGAGGAGGACCCTATATTCCACCCCAAGGATCCTAGCTCCGCTGGCCCCACCAACCTTGCCGATCTGATTCTCGAGAAGATTGCCGAGCACGAGGCGAAGCAGGCTGGCGAGGGCCCTTATGGTCCATACATCCAAGGTGGTGGTATCCCCGAGGATGCAGTCCAGATCCCTGCCAAGGCCGTGGAAGTATATGAGAAGTATGTTTTGCGAGAGTTCCTTGTGAGGTCAAGCTAACTTGTTCTAGGGTCGGTATGATTCTTTCTCGCTACAAGTCTGGCCCGCTCCCCAAGCCCATCAAGATCCTTCCCGCTGTACCGAACTGGCAGACCATTCTGGATATCACTCGCCCTGAGTCATGGACCGGCAACGCCGTCTACGCTGTTACCCGTATTTTCATTTCGTCCAAGCCTGCAGTTGCCCAGGAGTTCATCAACATTGTGCTTTTGGAGCGCGTGCGCAACGAAATCCACGAAACCAAAAAGTTGAACATCCACACCTACAATGCATTGCGCAAGGCCCTGTACAAGCCCGCATGCTTCTTCAAGGGACTTTTGTTCCCGCTCGTGTCCACCGGCACCTGCACCCTACGTGAAGCCCATATTGTCTCTTCTGTGATTGCCCGCGTCTCTGTTCCCGTGCTGCACTCCGCAGCCGCCCTACTCCGCATGTGTGATCTGGCTGCGGAACAGTCGTTGACCTCTATTGAAAGCACCGGTGCTGTCAACATGTTCATCCGCGTCTTCCTAGAGAAGAAGTACGCTCTGCCCTACAAGGTCATTGATGCCCTGGTATTCCACTTCCTGCGCTTCCGCGCCGTCGATCCTTCGGAAGATGCCATGACCGATGGACCCTCAGGGCTCGGTTCCAAGGCATACAAGCTGCCAGTTCTCTGGCACCAGTCCCTTTTGGTCTTTGCCCAGCGTTATCGTAACGACATCACTGAAGACCAGCGTGAAGCGCTTCTCGATTTGCTTCTCGTCCGTGGACACAAGGACATTGGACCGGAAGTGCGCCGCGAGCTGCTTGCTGGCCGAGGACGTGGTGTGGTGGTCCCTGACCCGGAGGCCCAGAATGCCATCGATGCTGGCGACGACACAATGGATGTCACCATGTAGATGAGATCAATTGGTCATAGCCCCGCACATGTTCGCTTACGATCTTGTCATGAGCACGTTTCTATGGGATGGCGTTTTTGTCTTTGTTTTGAGGGACTGCATATAATTCCCCTGGTGTCGAAGGTTTCCAAAATGGGATGTCAATACCGATCACTGAATTTAGTGTATTGAATTGAGGTAGACATATATCGTTATTTTTTCACGAGAAACCTTCATGAATAGTACATATCCAGCAAATGGTAGGAGTGACCCCTGTGAACTGCCGAGGTCAACCCTAACGACGCCCGTTTCAGCCCCTCGACCTAGACTGCATGATTCTGCCGTGTTCGAGATAGTTCCGTAGCATCCCCAGGATGGTTTCCGCCAATCTAAATGGCACAATGACTCCTTATCCATGCGAGAGCGGAGTACATAATCATACAGTGACATTCTCAGACTCAGGGGGCACGGAGAATTAGCGGGGCGGGGTAGCCCTTGACTGATTGGCGTTTTAAACGGAGCATTCTCCGGGCGATACTCCGTACGGAATACTAATCGCCTCTTCAGTTTCAGGAGGAAACGTATCGAGACTAGGTCCACCCTAGATTGTTCGAGACTCTTCATGATAGCAGATCATTTGTATTGTGGGACATATCGTCATTCAGATGGATCAAGTTGGAATGACTGTGTACAACATACTACCCGAGATATCAGAAGCTGAATATGTAAGTAATACTCCGTTCATATGCAAGTATACGGAGTACTGGGGCCAATATCCCAATTATAGAACTCCAGAGACATCCATATACTCCGTACGGAGTAGTTACAGAGGCAATAAAGTGAGCAAATCCCCCAGTGGGATACGATGTTTCAAGCGGCAAATCATGATTGGCTGAGAACATGGGGCCGAACCATGGAATGCAGGGGGAAATTAACGTAATTTACATGTCTCGTTACAGGAACTCAGCCCCTTTTGAGGTACTCGGTGGCACATGATAAAATGTATGGTGAAGCATGTACCTGACGTACGTGTACGCCCAGGTTCCAAGGTTCCCCCCCCTTTGTTCCATTCCCCGAGCCTATCCCTTTCAGACCACCGTGGCCTCTACTTAAACCTCATCTCTCCCATCCGTTTTCAGTTGAACAGCTGTCCTTTCCATTCTTTCTCTCTCTTTTTTCGCTGACTCACCCTCTGACTCAATCTTCCCCGGAGTCACTGGTCTCCGGTGCCGATCGTGATGATAACGTGGCCTCTGTGATTTGAACCTCTTCTCACCTAAGTCCTTATAAGTCTATACAAATTGTTACTCACGTCCGGCACCGGTTATCCATTTGACCCTGTCACCATGGCGGATACTATCAACCCTTTGGATACTCTCCCAGCCTCACCATCACCCGAGATGTACACAATTTCCCCCGCGGATACATCATTAGACTCTCCGGAGCCGGAAGATGATATTAAACAAGAAGAAGATGAGAAGAAGCCAACAAAGAAGAGAAAGTCTTGGGGACAAGAACTCCCAACACCCAAAACAAACCTCCCTCCTAGGTATGTTGTCAGCCTTATTGATAGACCTTAAGAACCCCGCTAACTCTGTTAGAAAACGCGCCAAGACGGATGATGAAAAGGAGCAGCGTCGGATCGAACGGGTCCTTCGAAACCGCGCTGCTGCTCAAACATCACGCGAGCGCAAGCGTCTCGAAATGGAGAAGCTCGAGACCGAAAAGATCCGAATGGAGCAACAAAACCAGTTCCTGATCCAGCGTTTATCGCAGATGGAGACAGAGAACAACCGCTTGAGCCAACAAGTAGCCAAGCTCTCCGCTGAGGTCCGTGGATCTCGCAGCGTGACTCCTAAAGCCAGCTCTCCCGCCATCGAATCGCCCACCCTCACGCCTACCCTCTTCAAACAAGAAGGCGACGAACTCCCTATGGAACGGATTCCTTTCCCCACTCCCTCCGTTACCGACTACTCTCCCACCCTCAAGCCTTCCACTCTGGCTGAGGCCTCCGACGTGACACAACATCCTGCAGCGGTGTTGTGTGAATGTGACCTGCAGTGTCCGTCGCCGGCCTCGAAGGATCTGGAAGCGCCCTACCCCTCTTCGACCTCTCCGACGAACCTCAGACTGCAAATGATGTTGCAGCTCCTCTTTCTGACGATGACTTCCGCCGCCTGTTCCACGGTGATTCACCCGCTGAGCCAAATCCTTCTTTCCCTGAAGACGGGTTTGCCTTTGACGTTCTCGACGGAGGAGATTTATCAGCATTTCCCTTTGATTCTATGGTTGATTTCGACCCCGAGTCTGTCGTCCTCGACGGCGTCCAATCGTCCGGTCTTTCGGATGAGACTTCTCACCAGACTACTAGCTTGCAGCCCAGCCTTGGCGCGTCCACTTCGAGATGCGACGGGCAGAGCATTGCAGCTAGCGGTTAGTGAGACTTTCTCCCCGCAGACCTGGTCGGCTGGCGCCTCGGAGGCTCGACCGAGTTGGGAGTCGTTATTAACCATGGCTTGGGCAATCGATAGTCTCAGCCAGTCTAAACGACACCAGCGGGGAAACACTATGAAATCCGGTCGGCAACGCAGTAATGGAAAGGTGCATCGAGGTACACGGAGTTTTCGGAGTTCAAGCGCGAGCAAAGCTCTTTCATCTTTGCTCATGGGCAAACAGCGCTGAGGGTTCCATTTTTTTGGCCTGTATACTACATAGTTTTTATAATGCAAAATCGACTGGCTCATCTTGCAATCACTTCTGAGGCATACGTAGTACATGTAGTAATTATTATAGATCACCACCGTATGGAGTACCATAAAGCCTGGGTACATTTTCAGAGACATTGTTTCGGGATGGCCAAATCGGTAGACTTGTCCGGATGCTAAAATAAACAGATGCCAAGAATGGAATGAATGCGGTCAGTGACGTTGCCACGCGCCCCCAAATCCATCTGCCTTCCACAACACCTGCAATCCTCATCATCTATAATATTTCTAACCGACATCATGGTTCGCAAAGACCCTATCTTCGAAGCCCGCACCAATGTCAAAGTAAGTCCCCGCACTCTCTGCTTCCCCTCCTCACAGAGTGCATCCCCGCCTCTGCATGAGGCCATTGCTAATCTTATCTCCCAGTTACACTCCAATAGACTCAAGAAAGAAGCCGTCCGAGCGGAGGCGACCTTCAAATCTGAAAAGGCCAAAGCCGACAAAGCGATGAAAAACCACGAGTTCCAGATCGCCCGCATCCACGCCGCCTCCGCCGTGCGCGAGAAGCGACGCCAAGTAACACTCAAATCTGAAGCGGCACGCGCAGACGTCATCATCAACGAACTCAAGGCTGCCCAAAGCACCCGCGACACATCCCGCACGCTTGCTCTGGCATCACGGGGGCTAGACGCTGCCTCACGGAGCGTCAATCTCGAACATCTGGTCTCCCACGCTAACAACTTCCTCGCCCGGTCGGAGGACTTCAAGATTGCTAGCAGTGCGATCGAGGATGTTGCACAGGGTATATCGATGCAAGAATACGGTGCAGAGGGTGAAGCCGACGTTGATCGACTTATGGAACAACTCGCAGATGATGCGGGTGTTGATATGCGCAGGAACCTTGAGGCGGACGCTGCACCCAAAGAGGAGGTCAAAGAGCCCAAGCAGGTGGATGCCGAGGTTGAGGACGGTTTGGGTGCAAGGCTACGAGCTTTACGGGCTGCTAATTGAGCCGGCTGCCTATTTTCTCTCTCCTGGGTACGGATTTACGGGACTGTCAATCCCCCATATAGATTCCTCACGATCTCTGGACCTTGCAACACTGACGATCCACGAAGTTACGCTTGTATTTCAAATGTTCTTTTTTGCGCCGTTCTGTACGTGAATAAGCGAATTCGAAGTTTTCTTTTTCCTTTTTTTTTCCCATACACGAGACTAGTGCAAATTTTTGAGTCATCGGTATAAAAACCCTGGCAAAGGTCTAAGAAAAGACCAGTTCGGTAAAAAATGAGGCGAAAGTACTAGGGTTGAAAACTAGATCGTAAATAGTCTAGACACTCCACTTAGCTCTGGCAAATTGAGAGACATCGCCAATCACATACGAGCATCTGCCTACTTTAATGCAGCAATTTCCACCTTAAGAGAAAGCCGTATAGTCTAGGCGATAAACAGCCCCCAAACAGCCCCCGAAATAAGGGTCTTCCAACATGAGGCGTTAACTAGATTTTTCTTTTAAGCCATGGCTGCCTCGCTTCTAATGGTTTTCCCTGCAAACCTTCAGGGCCATTCAAGATGGCGCCTTCACACTCGTTTATTCTTTTCTTGTCATTCGTTTTGAGCCTCGTTCAGGCTGCCCCTTGGATTGTGACAGATGTCTACGAGCAAAGGGTTGTTACAGATTCCTATTATTCCGATGTGGTCACTGAGGTCCAACAAATCTCTCCGACTGCAACTTTGCCAGCCGAGGCCCTGTCCACCATTGTTTCCACAGATACCATATATGACTACACTATTGTCCAGAAGCTGTATCCGACTGGCTATGGCGAGCAGCGAGGCGTATACGATGGATACCGTGACATGGATGATGATGGAAACTATCACGGCACCATTTACAAGGTCAACCTGACTTACTCGGCCCCGACAGCCTGCTCTACTCAATGGACCACCACGACCGGTGTCACGATCACGCCTCCCTATGAGATCGCGACCTTGCTACCCAGAGATAATGTAGAAACCTCGACATCCATCGACAGCAGCCAGGCATTCGAGCCCACTACCTACATCTACGAGGTAGTGTTTGTGGATCCCACCCAGGTCCCCAAGAGCACTCTGAACTCCCTGAGTTACTACAACACCCCCACTGCTCGGTACTCAGGTGCCGGGTGTGAGTACACAGGTCGCTCCTCTCATTACGGCTACTCCGACGGATACAACACTGGCGAAGATAGCTCTGACTCTGGCTACAACGATTCATACTACTACGGCTATGGCTACTATGACGACGACAACTGGTTCACCAGCTCACGGTGGACCGGCTGGGGCATCTCCTACCTCGGAATTGTACTGGTCTGCACGCTAGGCTGGATCGGCTTGATATTCATCCTGGGCATGATCGAAGCCTGGGTGCGATTCCGTCGCCTCATGACGGGCTGGCAGACCCGCCGTGGTATTCCTCTTTTCTGGGCATTCCTTTTGCTCCCTCTGTCTCTGTTCTTCCTGTTTTGTTTCCGCAAGGGCTACCGCGCCCGCAGCAAGGAGGACGCCGAGATCCTCAAGCAGAGGTGGGATGCCATGAGTTTCTGGACAAAGCTCCGTTTGTTCTTCGCCTGGGGTTTCCGCTTCAAGTACCCGACTGTCTTGGGCCCCGCGCCCGCGCTTGTCAGGACAAGCAAGAAGCCTAACGAGACTGGTCCGCGCTTGTTGAATCCCACTGATGCTGAGATGTCTCAGACTCCTGGATCTCAAGCTCAGCCTCTTGCCGTTTCACAGGCATCTGGTGCTCTGCCAGCGGGTCATGCCCAGGAGACTGGTACCGTTCAATATGCTTGATTGATGGTTCATATATGATCTCTGCTTTGTTGAATTCGGATATATACCCACTATCTATTATTAATAAGTCACGAACAGTCCTGCATCCTTGATGTTTTGGCGCTTGTATTTAGCCAGCTACTCATCTCTAATTGAGATATACCACTCATTCGTTACTTGATATGCATACATGACATCCAACATCTTAGATACGTCTCATATATCATCCCGAGCTAAATCGAATAGGGTCAGCAAAGCCCATTATAATTAATTGGCGACTATCTTAAATCTCGTCCTGCTCCTGCCAAGTGCAAGATCAACATGTAATGCATCCCCAAGATCATTCATGGATACCGCACCAGATACCTACCAAAAAATGTCCTCATCAGACTTTTCGAAATCATTCTCAGCATACTAGATCCTTTTCGATAGTAAATGTCATCAAGCGACAATTTGTTCGTACAGTTCACCTTTTTTGCGCCTTTCCCGCCGTTTAGCTGTAGAGCTGATGAGGGAAGAGAATGTCTAAAGTAGGCGTGGAAGAAATAAAGACTAAGGTAACCTATTACCTTATAAGTAGCTTATTGTGCTCGAACTTTGCTTTGGTATAAGTTTGAAAAACGGGAGAATAAACTGTTAAAATATATATTCCGCAACACACCTAGATGTGGTTTTTTGGTGTACATTACATAGTATATAATCATCGCTGGCAGCAACAATTTGTTTATTGCTATATCAACAACCAAAGCTTTTTTTTTAAAAAAAGTCAATTGATCTCTCTTCTATACATGTACACCAAAAAGAGGAGCAAAAAAGAAGAGCAAAAAAGAAATCTCAGGTTTGGTTTTTAGGAATAGCCGAACGCGGGGGTCGAACCCGCAGCCTTAAGATTAAGAGTCTTACGCTCTACCGATTGAGCTAGCCCGGCCGGGCTGTTGTAGAGAGGAGCCACAAAATGTTACATAAACCAAAAATATCACTTGTCGACGTCCCGATACCCCCTCAAATCATCCATGGCCTAGATCAAAACTCCCTACCCATGGAGGTCGAATCTAGTTCAGCCTCTAGCCCACATGGAAAACAAGCTGCATGCTTGAATTGTCGGCGGAGCAAGATTCGCTGCAACCGCCGGGCAGGCGAGTCTAGCTGCGAGAAATGCAAGCAGACTCATGCAGAGTGTATTGTTCCCAACCATCATCTGGGCCGACAAAAGGGTGTTAAAAAGTAGGTTAAATCAAATCGGCGTGGAAAAAAATAGTATACTGAATGAAGCCTAGTAAACGCAAAGGCCTGGAGAAAGCGATACACCAGATCGAACAGGCAATCAAGCGGCCCAAGGTCGACCCTTCTAGTGATGATGATACCCAAAGGGCTATCTCAGTTCTACAGGAACTCCTCGGCCAGGTTCAAGGCCAGTTAATGCAGAATAGCCACGAGGATGAGAATGGCATCACAGAGGCATCAGATCATCCCCGCATGACCCCTCCGCGCGATACCCATGTGGAGGAGAGTCTTGCTCTTGTCGATGCAGAAAATCCTCTCCAGCTACTTGCTAGAGCCTCGGATCTCCAGCTTTCGCCGACCGGGGTGCGGCGTGCGCCAGTGCCTCCAATGCCATCGTCGGAGGGAGGTCCGTCTTTCCTTCTGAACACCCCGCCAGGAGAACCAAGTGCCAAATCCTTTTTTGTTCCCGCGAGAGCAAATCTGGATGTTGGACCTGAAGTTGACCCGGTCGACCTAGGCTTGGTCACCTTTGATGAGTCGGAGTCCTTGTTTTCATTGTAAGTGGTCCACCTACATAGTTAATTAAACACATAGAACTGACAAATCAAGCTTCTACCAAAATCTCGCACATACTCGATGGGGCCTCGATCCTTTGATACACACTCCATCCTTTGTACGGTCCCAATCGGCTTTTCTTTTTACTTCAATTATGGCAGGCGCAGCCCTATTTTTGCCATCCGCCGCCGCTTTATCTAAGAGACTATCCAGGCATTGCAAATGGCTCGCGAAGCGAGTGTTCACACATCGACATAGGTCTGTTGAGATTGTTTTGGCTTTCATGGTGAACGTTCCGTGGATGTCTCCCGGTGATAGACTAGGGGACGATGATACGTGCTCCTATATTGCCATGGCTCTCACTGTCGCTCTAGACCTATCTTTGAACAAGATTGTTTCGCCCTCTTCAAGCTTTGACCAAGAACTCATGAATCGCCTGGCGCGAGCAGAGTGTATCGATGGCAAGAGGGCTTTACACATGGATGGATTTGATGATATTGATCCATCTTCAGAGTGGGCCCTTAGGCTGTTACGAAGACGCGAAAGAGCTTGGATTGCGTTGTATGTTGTTGAGAGGGGGTACGTTTGATTCTTCTAATAGTATATCTGGATCTGAGACTAATTTTCCCAGTGTTTGCCTTGCACGTGGACGAAGCTACACGGTCCCACCAACCGCTCTCATAGAAAACTGCGATCGTTGGCATCTGTCGAACATTGCTGACCCGCGTGATGGTCCTATGAATTCCATGGCAGTTCTTCGAAGGGATCTTGTAGGTGCCATCCCAATTCCATCACAAATAACCACCCAGGCATCCATATCATGCTATTCAGTTCCATTCTAACAGTTTTAGGATGGGCTCTTTCAGAAAGTTAAATCAAGCTGTGATAGTTATCGCATCGTCGATACCGGCTCCGAAACTGCTCAGTTGTATGATATCATGCCTTCGATGAATGTCATCTCTAAACTGACAATATCACAGGATTAAGAAAACCATCCAAACCTTCTACGAGCGGTGGTATGCGACATGGGCCCTGTCAATTGGGGAAGGAGACAGTAAGCGTAATATGTGGCTAAAATTGATTAACTAAATATTAACCATTCATAGCACGCTCTCTACCCCCATATGTCGAGATTCTTGTCACGCATACTCAGTTGTCTACGTACGGCGGCGTCATCAATCACCCAACAGCTCCAATTGAAGTCAAACGTTTTTTCCGAGCCGCTGGTTTATCGTCTGCATTGAACGTCCTGCGAGCAGCTATACAAGGCGAATCCCGACTAAAATCAATGCCAAACAATACCGTCATCATGATCTCCTTTGCCGCATGCTCTGCTCTCAGCCTCAGCATAACACCCGGTGACAGCAGATCCAGTTTGGCCCCAAGCGTCCGAAATCTCATCGAAGAGACTGCTGGTGTCTTAGAGAGAATCGGAGCAACACCAAGTCACCGAAGCGGCGCGTCTGTGCTTTACGGAAGATTCTTACGTGAATTGATTAGGCGTGCACCGGCCTTGCCTTCGCAGCCCCGAGGAAATCCAGCCAAAGCCGATCCGCCTGAGCCGACATTCCCCTCTGCATGTCTGGATCATGGATCGCTGCCAGTGACACTACCACCAGAGGATCTGTGGTCTGAGCCATTGCAATTCTCTGCTATGTCTGATAATCAGATCGTCGATGCAGTCAACCGAGCGGGCACCGCGTTTGGGGCGTCGATCCCCGATGTGTCTCTTGATGATATGCTTAATTGGGATTGGCTTGACTTTGCCAACCCGGATTTCAATTTTTAATAGGAGCAACAGGCGGATATTTGCATACCCAATTGTTCAGTTTTTTTTGTATTTATTTGATCACACTTTCCTGAACATATTCATATTAGTATCAGCTTGCATGTATCGCCCGGATTTATCTTGATACCATTTCGTCCAACATGCTATATATGGGGTATCGATTGCTCCCGAATGCCTGCAGATCCATGCCCTACAGGACCAATGGATCACCGTAACATCACAAAAGTGAACGCCGGATTATATTTCGCCAAGATCCCAAGATCCGGGGCCAAAATTCACTTGTAGAAAATAGTTACGCCCAGACAGATCGTCCTATTAGCTCTGGGGGCCACCTTGGCCAACGTCATAGTCTACAGCGCCCCTCACCTAACACACATCAAGGACTCATACTGTCAAGAATCGATGTTTGATACACCCACCCTACCGTGATCAGTTGGTATACAAGTCATACTTCAACAAACCCCAAGCAACCTCTAAGCATACACCGTCATGGTCCTCGACTGGAGCGCCCTAGCTCCCGGCCCGGCTGGAACTGCAATGCTAGGCGAGAGTGGGATCGAAGGCGCTGCCCGGCGTGGGCGCGAGCGTATCCACCGTGAGCAAGCAGAGAAAAGAGAACTTGAAAAGAAATTCAAGAATGGTGATGACACGGCGTCGGAGGTTACATTGATACCTACAAACCAACCGAGAGAGCCTGGGTCTATACAACAGGAGAGGTATACGGGAGGCGATGATATGCCTAGGTCTTCGATGGTTTCTGATTCGGATACGTCGATAAAGCGGAATGATGGTCGGAGGCAACGTGGGGGTATTAAGGGGAAGTTGAGTCGGTTTAAGAAGCGGTTGACTGGTTAGGCGAGTGACGATATTTTGTATATTTTGTTATTAATTATCCGATTCTTTTCTTGTAGTGCTGTATAGACTAGCCAACGAATCCACATCGAAATTAATTGGTCTTCTGTGTCTACTTGAAACTATAATGAACATCTTACTACACCTTTTGTCTGTCGACTAGCAGACTTCTTATAGTATTTACAATAGGATAATTTACTTGAATATTTGGAGAAAATGAAGATGAAGATCTAAATTTTCATCGTTATATCAGGTCATAGATATTCTCAAAGAGAACATTCATACCAAGAAGTTTAGAAAAAAAGAGGCTTGAGCCTTGAAGCGTCACTGGTGGCTGTAGTTGAGGTAGTCTCAGAGGCAGACTGGACTGGTGTGGCGGTTGTCTTCTCTACAGTTGGCGTTGAAGATGTAGGCCTAGCCATTTCGGTGCTAATTGAGCTGGTCAAAGATGAAGTGTCAACGCTATCGATCTTTGTCGAACTTGCCGCGCTAAAGAGGCTTACATCGCTTCCACCTTCGCATTGAACCACAGTTTCCCAACCACCGGCGAACTTACCCTCCCAGTACGACGATTGATTACCAAGAGAGAAGTAGCTGAAGAAATATGCCGAGCCGGGTTGCTCGTGTGCGTTTCGGTAAAACTTGACCGCACACTCGTCGGTACATGGGAAATCGGTTTTGGCCCAACTGTCGCTGTTGGTATAGGTCAAAAAGCAGTAATCGGACCTGTGAAGATATAAGTGCATATACTACTGAGCAAACGATGTACCGAACTCACCCGCTCTTGGCACAAGATTGACCGTATTTGTACTGGAAAACCTCGCCCACGGTGGAAACGGGAGCCTCATAGACATTCTCATTCCCGCTGGAAATTCCGGCTAGATCGCCATCCTTGTTGCATGCAGCTTTGACGTCCTTGATATACTTGGACAGTGAATCACTGCATGTCTTGGTGCACATAGCCTGCAGGTCCGAGGGTTGTGGATCAAAGTCAGGATCCATAGACGCCACAATCTTGACGAGGGTTTCTTGGCAGTCGATTTTGGCGCTGTAAGCGTCCTTGCAAGCCTGTGATGTGGTGTCGGCCAAGTCCTTAGTTGTATAGTCCCAATTAGGACCAGCGGTATCGAGACTGAAACCAGCAGCCGCCTGGCCCAAAGCAGCGGACAAGGCGAAGAGTCGGAAGATTGTGGCAGAGGCCATTTTGCTAAGAATTTGGAAAGGGCGACAAGAACAGTTTGGAGTATATTATTCCCCCGTTTGAAACGACAGACGAAAGGTGAGGAATCGGGTGTCAAAGTGAGCTGGGGTAGGTCGCCTATTAATATCAAAAATTCACTCCAGAATGCAAAGTATCCGAGCTCACCGATTTTTCAGGGGAACTATAGCGAGAAACGAGCTTTCAATGTCGGTATGGAGCCGCTACTCGATGGCCCCCAAATTTTCAGGGGCAGTCCCGAAATCTAAGCATCAAGACCCACAGGGGGCCGCGGGGCCGCGGGGCCAACCGATAAGTGCGGCTTGACTCTTAAAACGAAAGTAAATTGTTGTTGTACGCATAAAGCGACACCTGAGCAAGTGTGACTGTAGGATTGGCCTGGGAGCCTGAAGTCTGTTAGCTGGAGAACAGGGCCGCTCAGCCGGTGGTTGTACGAACCATGTAACATCAAATGTAGCTAAGGGGCCGTACGTAACTGGCGGGTAGCCCTAGATCACGAGAACCAAATATGCTCATGGATGAGGCTCAATTGATTATGAAAATTTATAAGGAACAGTGATCAAATTCTCCCAGGCATCACTTCTACTCACCAAAAAGCGACGAGGGGCGAACACGAAATGGAAAGTTCTACCGCTGCCAGATATTATTAGGGATATAGTATGAGGGTTTGTTTATACGAGGTAATTGGCGGTTTTTTACGATTCATAATAGACTGAGAATGTTCCTAAAAACTAAACTGAAATCCATAGAAGGATGCATATATAGATAGAAGAGTATGTAGAGGAGAAAGAAGATTCACGTTGACTCGGAGCGTTTGCGTTTCCGTGGGTGGCCGCTCGGCATCCAGAAGTAGCTCCGACTAACCGATACCGTCAATGTTTTTAACTGAGCGATTTCATTGTGTTTTTTTCTTGGTTTAAACAATTATTAAAACATGACAGCTCTAAGGATTTCTTCTACTTTGTCGCGCAAAGCGCTCACTGCCTGTCGACCTCGACTTTTCCTAGGAGTCCGCGTCAGTGTGCGCCCCTCGCAACCATTCAGTACTAGTACCAGCACTCGATACTCCATAACCGCACCATTACAATCTCTAGCACCTAAAATCGAGCGCGGTGGCCCAAAACTCTTCAAAGATGCTGATGCTGCTGTCGCCGATATCAAGAGCGGATCAACAATCCTTAGCTCTGGGTTCGGTCTTTGCGGAGTTGCAGGTATGTCGGCGGTTAGGCAGTGCGAGAGCAAGGCTGACAAAAAGTATAGAAACCCTCATTAATGCTATGCACCGCCGAGGCGCTGATCAATTGCACTCCCTGACTGCTGTTTCGAATAATGCCGGCGCGCCGGGCAAGGGAGGCCTTTCAACACTCTCGCAGAACGGCCAGATCAACCGTCTGATCCTTTCATACCTCGGGAATAATAAGGCACTGGAGAAGAAATATTTGACGGGGAATATTGCTATTGAACTTTGTCCGCAAGGTACTTTGGCTGAACGTCTCCGTGCTGGGGGTGCTGGCATTCCGGCTTTCTTTACCCCAACAGGAGTCCGTATGTATAAATCCTCCTCAGAGTAGGTTTGGCGCTGACAAGCAAAGACACCTTTATTCAGGAGGGGAAGATCCCCGTTCGCATGGATGAGTCTGGTAAAGTTCTGGAGTCTGGCAAGCCGCGAGAGACCCGGGACTTCAACGGCAAGACATACCTGATGGAAGAAGCCTTGACTGGAGATGTAGCTATCCTCAGAGCTTGGAAAGTGGATGAGGCTGGTAACTGCGTGTTTAGGTGAGCATATATGCCTGTGCGTAATAGAATATGGATACTCACATTGATTAGATATACTACCAAGGCATTTGGCCCTATCATGGCCAAGGCCGCAACTCTGACCATTGTGGAGGCGGAGAATATTGTCCCAGTTGGGTCCATCGATCCCAATGACGTGGACCTACCGGGTATCTTTGTGGATCGGATCGTTCCTGCAACGGATGATAAACACATTGAGAATAGGAAGTTGCGCTCGGAGGCCACTGCAACTGGATCTGCTAAAGACGTGGCTCAGATTCAAAGAGAACTCATTGGTCGTCGAGCTGCCAAAGAGCTTAAGCCGGGATTCTATGTGAATCTGGGTGTTGGTATTCCCACGTTGGCGCCTTCGTTCCTGCCAAAAGATGTGAAGGTTTGGATTCAGTCGGAGAATGGCATCTTAGGAATGGTAAGTTCCTAAATATTTTCTATGGTTTGATCTAACAATATTTAGGGTGATTATCCAACTGAGCAAGAATTGGATCCGTAGGTCATTCCCAGAAATGATGACCTGAATTCTCACTAACTCAGACCAGTGATATCATCAATGCCGGAAAAGAGACAGTGACCTTGGTTCCTGGAGCTGCTACATTCGACAGCACCGAGTCCTTTGGCATGATCCGCGGAGGTCATGTAGATGTGTCTATTCTCGGCGCTCTGCAAGTAAGTGCCAACGGTGATCTAGCAAACTATATGATTCCCGGAAAGGTGTTCAAGGGTATGGGAGGAGCAATGGATTTGATCTCGAACCCGGACAAGACCAAAATCGTGGTGGCCACGAACCACGTCGCCAAAGATGGATCGCCCAAGATCGTGCAAAAGTGCAGTTTGCCATTGACTGGTGCCAATGTTGTTAGCACTATCATCACAGACCTGGTAAGTGCGAAGAGGTTGCTTTAAGATCAAAACTGACACTAGTACAGTGTGTCTTCCAGGTGAATCGAGCTACTGGAGAGCTCACACTGACTGAGCTTGCTCCGGGGGTTGAGGTAGAAGAAGTGCGAACAAAGACTGATGCCAAGTTTAATATTGCTGATACCCTTGAAATTATGGAATAAAGAGGGTATTGAATAAAGGGCTCTATAAATAGCCAAGTCATTACTTTTTCTACTTATACTTCCGAATGTCCCCATAATTAGGCAGAAGTATTCTTTTTTTTTTCGGAGTCTCAAAGTAGCCATTTGGCCGCGAAAAATAAGCTCACCCGATAAAATAAGCTTACTGTGCCGAGCCGTCGAAAATTTCCCATGTTTTTTCTTTCCTTTTCACGATGGCATTTCATCCATCTATGGAATCTATTCCAGAAAATGAAGTAATCATGTTAAGCAATCGAGTGGTATTGACTCCCAGGCCAGAATCATTCTCGATTTGGAAATGCTCTCACCCGGACTGCATTGCATACCCGTACGCCAAGAGAGCCATTTACTGTCGAGCAGTGCAGAGACCTTTCTGGGCATTGATCTTCGTTATGTGTGTACCTGTAGTCTACTCCAAGTCCGATCTGTTGCCTTTGTGGTGCACTCCACACTCGAAACCTCGTGAACTAATAATGTCCCACTTAGTGGTATCCTCAATCTCCTCACCGTTACATCGCAATACCTTGGTTATGTCTTTCGAGATCGCACGTTGGGTATTTCCCTGGAGGAACGCCCATCTAAACTTTCCGACTGGTTTACCCACGGTGTCCCCCCTGTACCCTGCCACTCCCACAACGACTACTGGCGCCGTGTTCCACTGAGCTCGGCACTTCGTGCAGGATGCACCAGCGTCGGAGTCGACGTCTGGCCTTGGGGAAATGATATTATAGTCGGCCATTCACGTCACACAGTCCTCCGGGGAACATTTCAGAGCCTCTATCTTGACCCGCTGCTGAGGATACTCGACACACACAATGCCCCTCCTTCTCGCAACTGGCCCAAAGATATGAGTCAGGATAGGGTTGGGGTATTTTCTAATGACCCACAGCAGACTCTGGCCTTGATTATTGATTTTAAAACAGACGGCGAGCAGCTCTGGCCTCTTCTTGTCGAGCAGCTAAGTCCGCTTCGTGAAAAGGGCTACCTGACTCACTTCAATGGCTCTAATGTTGTATACGGCCCGATTACTATCGTTGCCGGTGGAGACGCGCCTTTTCACAAGATCTTGGAGAACTCAACCTACCGTGACGTCTTCTATGATGCACCTCTTGGCAACTTGACATTCCCCATCGAAATAACGGCTGACGACAACACGCTGGATACTTCTTATAACCCATCCAACAGCTATTATGCATCAGCAGACTTCCGCACAGCTATTGGGTCTCTCTATCTTAGTCGTCTGTCGGATCCTCAGCTTGCTATTCTTCGGAGTCAAGTACTCGCAGCTCATGAGTTGGGATTGAAGGCACGGTATTGGGGAACCCCTACTTGGCCGGTCGGACTACGGAATCATGTTTGGAGCATCCTTGTGAAGGAGGGCGTAGATATAATAGATGCAGATGATTTGCATGGTGCAACTAAGCAGGACTGGAAATCTCAACACTGGTGGAATTGGTAGCTGCAACAATACTTGCGCCGAATCATACATTGAATCGAAAAGATTAACCGGTACGCTTTCTATGATTATTGTAGACAAACAGAAACCAGTATAATTGTAGAGCACTCCAATTATGCCTACTAGGTATTATGATCATAACTCGTAGAACCATCATTACTCAGCGGTATAGTGGCCATGCACCAAAACCGCCTTTCTAGGCAATATTGATGCCCAGATGCCTGATTATTTCTAGAATTTCTGAATTAAGACTGGCAGAAAAATAAAGATACTTGAATTACTATTACAGAGGCTTTATAATGAAGGTACCTAAGTCCTGTCAGCTAACCCTGTAAGTTGGAATTGAGGCTTTAGGTACTATACATTTGACCACCTCAAAAAAGCGGAGATGCATGGATTTGTATAGTGCCAAAAGCTTTATTTTCGTACTTGTTAGTTTACATTACCCAAGAATAGTGGGCCGTATAAACGGCCTTGTGTAGTCCTTTCAGTAGTCTTTTCAGTGGTATCTTTAGTAGTCTTCTTAGATATCATTCAGTTTAGATAGGTCGACGGCGGAAAAAGGCTTAATTTATGCAAACGACTTTCATATGTATAATCTTTGATTATACAGAGCGGTATAAAAAGTGGTTAAGATTCCATGGCTAATCAGGTTCCTAGGCATGAATATAGCCTGAGAAGGGGGTTTTGCCGCATGGCCATTATACCGCTGCGTACTCATAGAACCATCATAAACTCTGGGTTACGGTCATCATTATACCCTGCGTATTGATCATACTTACCCTTCCTTTTATCTCGATTGATCTTTGCACAATAGAGCACATTAAGCAGGATCCTATGTCAATCAGCGATAGCGCTTGAATCAATGATAAGAGATACACTCACATAAACCATGCAAACACTAACAACCCAAGGACAATGGTATGTCCACGATGGAAGAGGGGCCCATCCCGAGATGGATAGTTGAAAGCTATAGTACAGATGTTAGGGATCTGCTCTAAGAGATAACACTCAGTATGTGGGCCACTTACTCGCAACAAATCCTCCGGCATTTGCGATTGCCAACTGCATCGCCGATGTAGTGGCTCTTTTATAATGTCCCGCAGAGTTGTTCGACAGCCACACCAGGATGCAAGGTACACTGGCATATTGCCCGGTTGCCATGAGAAAGGTCATACCGTATTGGACACGAGGGGAGTCAATGTTGGCGATGGCTGCATATCCAATGATAGCGACAGGGAGAGTGAAGAGCATAACCACGCCGCGGAGACGGAGACGATCAGAGATGATCGCAACAACGACTAACAAAATGGGTGAGCGTTTGATGAGGCTGATAAAGGATAGACATACCTGTAAGTACGGCTGCAACAGCATACGGTATCACAGACCACAATTGAACCTCGTTGGCATCTTTGGCGAAACCAAGGTTTTTGATGATTGTCGGTAGCTAGAGACCGTCAGTGGCTTTCATACAGACATAGAAATATGGGGGTCATACAAACAAGCCAAAGGAATATAGTCCAGAGAGAATAGCAAAATATGCGGAGGCAGAGAGCCACACTTGTAAATCCAGCACACCTCGGCGCACTTCGGACCATTTGAATGATTCTGCCTCAGGCGTCGACCTGTTTTGAGTTAGCCAAGCTTTTATCGCCCAGCGGGTCGGAAAAGCTTACCTTTCTAATGATACGGGGCTATCAAGCCTCAACCGTTTCCCACCGAATTCCTTCTCTTGTGCACTCAAAAAAGATGCAGACTCCAAGCTATTTGGAAGGACGAAGTAACTGAACACTCCACACACAAATGTCTGAATAACAGTCAGACGAATTCTTTGTTTTAATATTACCTTCACGTACCAAAAGTCCCTCAATAATCAAAATCCAGCGCCAACCTTCTATGCCCCCTCGAGGCCCGATTTCGGCCAGCCCACGAGCAAGAAGCCCTGATTTGTTAGCGTGCGCTGATTTCAAACGAAACCCATACGTACCTCCAAATGCGCCCGACAGAGAAGCGGCTGTGTAGAACAAACCAATCCGCAGAGCCAAATCGCTTCGTCTATAGAAGGAGGATAGATATAAAACCTTTTTCTTTGTCAGTCATGACCGGTGTCAATTCCCCTACAAACATACCATGCCAGGGAGTAGACCTCCCTCCGCAATACCCAACAGAGCTCGGACGGCAACAAAACCAGCGAAATTCTGTACAAATCCTAAACACATGGTAATGATGCCCCAAATGGCCGTTAAGAATGGCAGCCAAATCTTCGGCGATGCCTTCTTGAGCACCAGGTTACTCGGTAGTTCGCTATCATATCAATTAGCCTTTTGGTGTTGGGTCCAATCGAGCACAACGTACCTGCAAATGTAGGTGAGATAGAACACAGCCAGGCCGATATCATACTGATGATCTGTGATAGAAAGGTCCTTTTCTAACCCGATAATCTTCGCGTTGCCAACATTTGTCCTATCCAAAAATGACATGAGAAAAAGCAGTGCTAGTATAGGTAGGATACTGGGTAGTATTAGCAAGCGCGTGGTGATTATGGTGCTTGAACTGACTGTATATCCAGCTTCCACAACACCTTCCGTGTCAGTTTCTGCTGATGTGCAAGGTCCCCATATCGATCAAGGGGAGCTGATTTTGCCTCTTCGAGTTCTGACACCCTTGACTTCGGTGGGTTCATGGTGACTTATGTATATTGTTTCTTGGCGACGCAGGAACTGATTTATTCTATCTGTCGGAGCATAGGATGGGGGGGAACGAGAGTAATAATTGAGACAAGTAGCCCACAAACAACCAGATAGAGCCCCTTCGGTTGATATTTCTGGGTCCGAGCTCCTCTCCAGCCCCAGATTTACACCAATGGCAGAGCTTCCATGAGCTCGCGTCCGGGTCCTCATTCCCCCGCCATCCCCGGATTTTGGAATATTCCCCACTGGGTAATATTACGGTAATATTCAGGTCAAATTACTGTCAGATTACTGTCCCCTCCCGGTATTGTCGGTGTTCACTTCTGGGCCCCGTGTGGTCCCAAATCTCCCGAGGTCGGGAAATAGAATTGGTCAACAATCGTTAATGGCAAGACTTCCACGACCAGAGCACAAGAGCTCACCACCCGATATGTCTAGACTTTCAACTAGCCTCAAGGCATTAATCAATGCTCCTGCCGCCCGGCCATCCACTGTCCCCGCGCCAGCAAACATAACCTCGGTTTACCAGAAGATCCAACAAACCGCGGAATCCAAACAGATCTCACAGCCGTCATGGGTCGCACTATCAGTGAGTCAAACTTCATTCAATTAATATTGAACGAGATCTAACATCTGCCAGACCGCAGCAACAATGACTATGAACTCCCCGGAGTCCCTCGCCGCCCTCTACGAACTAGCTAGCACGAATCCTGACAAGCAAGTCGAGACCGCAGAGCTCATGCGCGAAGTCGGTTTAAAATGCATCAGTTTTAACGGCATCCCACGTACCATAAACTGTCTCAATGCCTTCAAAGCCAGCCTGCCAGACTCAGTCGGCGATGAGCTCTCCCGCACCCCGACCCGCGCACCAACCCCGGAGAACATCGCCGCGATAAGTGAGCGTGGTCACGCCCTCTGGAATTCCATATATCGTCCGTTCGAGAAGAAGCTATACAATAAACTAGCCGACTCACACCCCGACCTGCCAGTGCACATCCTGAACAGTAACTACGGGGCCCTGTTGTCTGATCCAAAGCGTGACACTGGCGCATCTGCTGGGCGCATTCTGACGTCGATTGTCGCTATCGCGTGCTTGCGTGCTCAGACTGGTGTTGGGCCCCAGGTAATCTCGCATGTCTTTGGGTTGCGAAAGGCGCTTGAGGATGGCTCGTGGGTCAATGATGTAGAGGGAGAAAAGGCCGCGCGGTGGTTGGCTAGCGATGAAGGGAATACGTGGATCTTGAATAGTGTTGATGCCATTGTCGAGGCTATTAGCCAGGGCACTGGATCGAATTTTGCCCCTGCACGGGCGAAGCTGTAAATTTATACGGATTTTATACCGCATATACATATCTCAATACTATGGGTTCGTCCCAAAGGTCAAAGAGCCGAGGCCTCTGATGTATTGAGTAGTGGATGCATCTGTGCGGGGCGAGGCGACCATACATCGGCGCCCATTTTGCTTCGGGCAGCAATTGATTCGAGAAAAGCTGCATGCCTGTCTAACGAATACTCGTGGGGTGGTCGACACCTTAGTGAAAAATCAGGCAACATGAGAACCCCTGCTAGTATTTGTGGAAAAAGTACCCATACTGGTGTTCTTCTTCATTCCATGATCAGAATCCCCGCGCCAAGATGCAGTGAACTGGCCTCAAATTGATAACCCACAGACCATTCCACCAATCGCCTTGATACTCCTGTGATTACACAGCGTAAGCTGCATAACTAAGTCAGAAGATACGGACTATCACCAATTCGATTGCTTTGTCACATAAATTAGAAGACCCGTTTGATCCGCTCGTGCATACCCTACGTGTTAGTGGCGCGAGCGAAATAAGTGAAGCTGCAATTGACACTTAAGCCAGTCCCCATCATGTCTGTTTCAACTTGCGTCGAGCGCGGGCAATGGCACCTGCGATCCGTGAGATTACCCGGAAACTCATCGAAAGAGACACCACTTTTACAAACGTCGTTACTCTGGAGAATACCAAGCCGTGGCCAACATTGAACTTGGTTACATACACGGTGACAACTCCACAAACGACTGTCGTTCGAGTGATTGATACAGCAACTTCTGCGCCCGAGAGAAACGATTCGGCCAAAAGAAGCGAACTATCAGATGGAAAGAAAGGCGCAATAGCGGGGTCGATTCTGGGTGTTGTGGTCTTTCTACTGCTCTTATACTATTTATACATATGTTATTTTCAGAGTGTATCCACTGCACGATCGCCCAAACTTCCACTGGATGCGAAAGATCCTGAAGCTTCAGACTCGGCGCCTCCTCAAGATCCCGCTCCTAGCGATGATAAACCGGCAAGGAAAGGGAAGAGTGTTACCATATCATCTGATCTTCCTCGGTATTTTCATCGATACTCAAGCTCAAAGGATGCCAAACCGATAATTACACCTCTTGTGAGAATCACAACAGAAATGAGCTTGCGGACTGGACTTCAGACACGAGAAGGAAGATTGGGACAACCAGTTCGCTTCATGATTCGAGAACGGGAGAAACCGCCAAGGGTGAAGAAGCGCCGGAGACGCAGGCGTCGAAGCAAGCACAAAGGGGGGAAGACTGATGATGCGCATTGATGGGAGTTTCTCTGATCTAAGATGGGAGTATGGAATATTTGACAGAGGCAGGTTATATCTATCCATTTTCCGAGATTGTCCATTTCCCCCCCCGTCTACCCAGACATGGTTTTTATGTACATTAATCTATCCTAATATACGGAGTACATACGAATGACATGGTACATACCCCCCCTGCGCTGTGACCTCTACCTACCTCCAGGTTCATAGTCCCAAGTAGTCCACAGCGTTACGATGGAGTTAGACAGAAAGAAGGTCTTAGGACCATTCGGTAGCTGGAACCAGGAGGCGCAGTTAAGACGATCAGTATTGCGAACTAAAGGACAGCTAGAGGGCAGAACCTCCGAAGAGGGAGGGAGGAAGGAGAAGCCTTCAGCCTACAAACAAGCAGGATGCAGTTCTAAGAATCAAGCACTAATGGTACGAGGTCCACTCGAGGGTGTTGCCGAGTATCACTTAGATTTTGACCCGGCCATTTCGACATTTTCTTGATCTTCTTTCTATCCTCTGTCATAGTAAGCTGGAAGAAATAAATTGTACCGTATGGACTAGCTGCTATTTTGCCCTTAATACTGTAAAGCATTGCCACCGTCCTTTTCTATATCTGTGAACATCTCGTTGATGGTAATCGTGTACTATTTCAAAAACTCGAAGAAACCTGCCGCCCGACCATATGTTCGAGATTTGGAACTTATGTACATTATCTGGACATTGCGTTTAATATACCAGTATTTGACCGAGTCATTCGGGACGTCAGCTAGTCCCGAAGGCAGATTGCCGGGTTCGTTCACCTGGGGTAGCCGCCCCTGCGAGTGGTCTATAGATCTGTCACTAAAAGGAGTATAAATTGTCCGCTTTAGGAAAGTGCATACTCCCGAGGACTCGATGTAAACAAACCTTTTCTATGCAGAATAGGAAAGAACAATAATATATGATGTATGCACAGGGAAGGGAAGGTGCATTGGAGGGTCGTCCTA